GTGCCGCGTGCCGCCCACCAGCCCCCGCCTGCTCCCTGCCACCCTCCCTGCCCATGACGCACCTCCGGCTCCGGAAGTAGATGTACTCGAAGGGCAGTGACCAGGGAAGCAGCAGGTAGGTCAGCGCCTGCCCGAGCCCCGAGCGGCGGAAGTGCGCCCAGGTGCTGGGGTCCCTCTGACAAGCTTTCTTCAGTGCTGTGGGGACAGTGCCACGCGGTCCCGTGGGGCAGACATGCCCCTCCTCCGCGTCTCCCTGTGTCTCTCCGGGTCCCCACACCGTGCCCCACAGCCCAGCTTCCGCAGAGCACGAGGAGGGCCAGCCAAGCCCCTGGTCCTCGAGCCTCACCCTGTGGCCCTGTCGCACGGACGATGGGCAGGGAGACCAAGGTCAGAGCGGAGCAGCGCTTGCTCAAGGAAGCAGCAGGCCCAGGCCGGCCAGGCCCCAGGCTCCCTCCTCCGCTCCTATCTTGGGGACCGGCGCCCTCAGGAGCAGTGACACTGCAGTGTCATTCACGGTCACTGTGACCCGGGTGAGCTGAAGCTGCCAGCACCCGGGCTGGGCCAAAGCCAAGGTCCCAGTGTCGGCCCCCAGCGCTGTCTGGAGGTGACAGACCCAGCTCAGTCTGGGACGGGGCTTCCCTGCCCGGAGCCACGGGGCCCTGGGATGGGCACCACCTTGGGAAGGCAGGGGAGGACCAAGGCCCACACAGGCCATTTCCCCAGCCAGCTGCAGGTGGGCCAGGCTGCTTCAGGGTCCCCTCAGGAGCTCCGAGCCCAGGGCATGGCCCCAGGGCTCAGAACACACTAGGCCCACCCGTCCCATTCCTGCTGTGGCCCTGACCACCATCACCACTCTTCCCAGGCCCCTGCCTCCGAGTCACTGGCCCACTCTGACCTCTGTCATCCCGTCTGCGATGAGCACGTAGGCACCGAGCTTCCAGTGTCACTTGCCCAATCACCTGCAGCACTCATGCCTTGCCCGGTGCCCCCAAGGCCATCTCTATGAAGCACTGGGTCCCTCTGCTGTAGCCACACGGCCCCCAGCTGGCCCTTCCCCATCCCAGCACCTTTGCACATGCCCTGCCCCTGGCAGCCCGACCTGGGCAGTATTACTTCTCCAGTTCCCCTTAGATGCCTCTCAAGCTCACCCCACCCCGTTGCCTACAGGCCTTGGTCCTCTGCAGCTGCTGTGATCACAACACCTGTCCACCAGGCAGGACAGTGGGCTAAAGGTTCCAGAGCAGAGCTTAGTTGGGCCATTTGCCAGCTGTACAACCTCGGACAAGTTCCTCAACTTCTCTGTACTGTGGTTGCCTCCTAGGCAGTGGGAGCATTCCTGTCCTGTCCTGTCCTCAGAGTCTTGCTGGAGGCTGACATGAGCCTGTCTCCCTCTGGGGTCTAGAACCCACCCCCCATGTCTCTTGGCACCTCCTGCAGCGTCCTGGGCAGTAGACAAAGACTTGCTATCTTGGGCGTTCAAATTCCACAAGTGCAGGCTCTGTAACTCTGACAAGCCCCTTCCCCTTATTGCTGGGAAGAGGTGGGAGTCACATGGGCTCAGGGTAATTGTGAGGGCTGAGGGACACTGAGTATAAAAAGCCTCTGCAGGCAGAGTTGTAATCCCTGCACTCTGAGAGGCTGAGGCAGGAGGATCCCAAGTTCAAGCCCATTCAAGGCAACTCAGCAAGACCCTATTTCGAAATAAAAACTAGGGCCAGGGATTTAGCTCAGTGGCACCATGCCTACCTCACAAGCTCAAGGTCCTGAGTTCAATCCCTGCTACCGATAAATAAATACTAACTGAAAAGCTCTGGGATGTAGCTCAGTGCAAAGGTCCTGGGTTCAGTTCCCAGTACCACAGCGAGGGGAAGAAGCCCATGTACACAGTCGGCACTTAGTAGGTGCTCAGCAGATGAGCCCTGCAGGCGCGAGCATGGGAAGGGGCAGTACCAGCCTCCAGCTCCGGCGAGAGCTGTTCGAAGTTGGGCACATCCTTCACCCACACGTAGGGCACATCCCAGTTAAAACCCTGGTCATGGTCGGCATCCTGGAGCCCCTCCACCGGGGCTGGCCACTCCCTTGATACCAGCGTCCGCAGCACTGATTCCTTGATGAGCCCTGGGCCAGAGAGAGTGGGAGGACACAGTGCTTTGAGGGGAGACTGGCCCGGCTCTCTGAGCCACCCCCTTGGCCCTGGGTGGACCCGGGGCTCCTCCGGAGCGAGCCCTTCCTGCACCCCTCACCCTCTCTGCCCTGCTCCGTCCTTTCTCAGTGTGTCATCAGAGCCCAGATCCAGGTTCAGCATTCAAACTCTAACTCCGACACCTGCAGCTCCGTGACCTAACCCCCCTGGGCCTCAGTTTACTTCTCAGTGGAAAGGGAAACCGAGACCTGCAGTTTAGATCTGTTCTGAGAATTAAATCTGAGAAAGGCCAAATGCTTGGCCTAGGTCTAGGCGTGCACTGTGCCCTGCGTGGGCTCTCTTGCTGTGAAGAACACTGCCCGGGGGCCCTGCCAACCTGACCCCATGCCTTGGAGATGCAGCCTCTGTCCTGCTCTGCCTAGAAGGCTCTTTCTCCTGCTGCTGCCTCAAGGAGGCCCTCCCCGCTCACCTCCACCCAGGCCAAGCCAAATCCTTCCCTGAGCGGCCACTCCACAGCTCATCCTGTCGCCGCACCCGTCTCCCTAGGGTGCCTCTCTGGGCCTGACCCTGAGCTCGGGCCAAGCATGCAGCAGAGGCCGAGTTGTGAATGAGCAGGTCGCCCAGAGCCCTGGCGGTCAAATGCCCCAGAGGCAGGGGCCGCCGGGTGTGCTCTGGGCCGCCATCCTGCCACCTACCGCGTTGCTCCAGGAACCTCAGGCAGTCCAAGTAGCCCTGTCTGCAGATGTTGGCCAACACCTGCCAACACACAAGCCAGGGGGTCACAGGCCAAGACGGGTCCTTAGCCCGATGGGGTCACAGCCCTGCCCACCTGCAGGTGACACGGACCTGCGTGAAACCCACTGCTCAGGGCAGGCTTCCAGCTCCCTCTTTCCTACCCCTAAATAACGGGGTAACCAGGAGCGGGGAGGACCACAGCTCTGGACGGTGACCCTCTGTGGACACGTTAAAGCAATAGGCCTACAGAAGAGGGCTGAGGACTGGGGAGAGCGTACAGGGAAAGAGGACCGAGTTGCAGCTATCGAGGGTTTTCTGTCAAACTTCATCTTCCAGAAACTCTAAGGGCAAAGCTCAGGACAGCAGGCTCCCTGTCCGTTTCTTTGTATGCTTGTGCCTCACTCCACAACCCATAGCCAGTTTGGCCAGAGTCCGGGATGGGGCCGAGAGCAGAGTGTCAGCCTTGACTTCGCTGCTCCCAGTTGTGTGTCTTTGAACAAGAACTTAACCTCTCTCAGCCTTCTGTCCTCTGAGGGTAGGGATGCCCAGGACCTGCTCACAGAGCCTGGCAGCGTGGCTCCCACTCCAGCAATCCCTGGACATGGGGCGAGTCCTCAGTGGACCTTCAGGAGGGAGGGAAAGGACAGCAGGATCACAACTTGGGCCCCAAGCTTTGGCCGAGCGTGCAACAGGGCTGTGCGTCGGGCTTAACCGAGGCTGTGGGGAGAGACCTGGGCCATGGCCATGCCTCTGCCTGGGAAGGGCCAGACCCACCTCAGCTTTTGGGGGAAAGAGGGACATGTAGCCCAGGAAGAAGTTGAGGGTGGAGATCTGGAAGGTGGCATTGAAGGCATTCAGCTCATGCAGGCTGGGCGAGGTGCTCGGGGGACAGATGTCCACAGTCCCGTTGAAGGGTGAGACCATGATGGTGGAGGGGCAGCTGGCGAAGGGTATGCTGTTACTCAGTGCCCCATCGATGTAGCGCTGCAATTCAGGGGGTGGGCTGGGTGGGTCTTGCAGGGCTCCTATGCCCCCCCAACCATAAGAATGCTCCCGGGGTGGCCTACACCAGCCCACTCCAGCCTGGATAGCTGGGAGGGCCCAGGATTCAGCAGGTGCCCAGGGAACGGGGCCTCCTCCAGCCACAGCCCCCCATCGCCTGACCCTTGGTAGCCCAAGCACAGGGAGGGGCATGGACCTCACAGCCCCAACTGCACTCACCTCCCCTCTGAACTCAGGGGGGATCGTCCCACAGTAGAAGGGAAAGAACAGGGTGCAGACCAGCGCCTGGAGAAACAGTCACAGGGACAGGCATATTCTTGCCCATGGCTTCTGCCCCTGCTCTCGCACCTGGTCCCCCCACCACCGTGGAGTCACTGACCCTGGTGAGTGAGAGGCACCCAGGAGGTCATCACATCCAGCAGTGTCTCAGCAAGGACTCCCACCTCACCCTCCTCTCTGCTGCCCACCCCTTTCCCTGCCATAGACACACAAAGGCACCAGGTACCATATCTGCCTCACCTGTCTGCTCAGAATTCTCCCCCAAACCCCTGGATTGGCTCATTGCCTGAGACGTGCTCGCCACCCTCTTGGCCCTAAAGAGGCGGGGATTTCCATCTGCCCCTTTCCCTGGGATGCTCAGGTGCCCAGCGTGGAACAGGTGCTCAGTAAAAGTTTCCTGGCTCAAAAAGTGCCCAGAAGAGGGGGTGGGGCAGGGCTGGGCAGACTCCCTCTGGGAAGAACCCCGACTCCTGCACTCAAGGGCCCTTTGGAAGCAAGCACGCTCTCCCTGAACTCCCCTGGGCACCTGGTCCCCTCACCGAACACCCGCTGGCTCCCACAGATGCACCTGCCCCCGGGAAGCCCCTGGAAGCCCCTCCGGCACCTCCCCGCCCCCCACTTGCAGCCAGGACCTGGATCCCAGTGCCCACTCACCTGGACAACCTCCTCTTTGTCGGCAAAGTCGGTGACTATGACATTCTGGCCATCGGGCCAGTGGGTCAGCGAGATGCCCAGTTTCTGGGAGGCCAGAATGTGACAGTCCTCGGGCAGAGAGTCTCTAAGCCTCTGTCTGATGTATTCTAGGGGTGCGTAAGCCGGGTGGAAGACGCCCAGGCTCAGCCCCTCCAGGTGCTTGACCATGTCCAGGAGGTTGGAGCAGCAGTAGTCTGTGGGGTGGGCCGAGGAGGGGAGTCCTTAGCCCAGGGGGACAGGTGCCCACGCTTCCTGCAGCGGGGGGGAGAAGGTCCTCCCCCTTGGCCCCTCAGGATTTCCCTGAGGTTCCATCTGCCATTTGGCCCCGCGTGACCTTGGAAACAGTCTTCCGGCCTGTGAGCGCAGGCTCCCTGCTTTGCGGTAAACATGGTCCCCAGATTAAATATGGAGGGACCACCCAGGATGTGAAGACCGCGGGACACAGCCAGGCAGAGCTCTCTCGGCGCCCCCTCCCGAGCTTCTCCCCTCCCCCCAGCCCAGGACGCACCCACCGACTTGTCACGGATGATACTGAGGGCGTTGAGGGCCCCAGCCGAGGAGCCGTAGATGCGGCGGGTGCCCTGGAGGAGGCGTGGGGCCCGCTGGCGCAGGCCGTGGGTCACCCCAAAGTGGTAGAGAGCCAGGTAACCCGTGCCGGCGAAGGACAGGCTCCAGCTGTCCTCCTCGTCCAAGAAGCCCATGTGGGAAGGGTCAGGGAAGGGACCAGCTGCGAAGACGGCTTGGATACAGCAAGCACCCCAGCGAGGGTGACCGTCTGGTGGGGGACACAGGGCTAGAGGGGGTTGGAGCCCAGATGTGCGGCTCCGGCAGGGGCCCTCTTCCGGCCCAGGTGTCCCCAGCCCTGCTCCGCCCCAGGCTGAGTCAGAGGCAGCCCCAGCCAATGAGGCTCCCAGGCAGCAATGAACCCCAGAGCCAAGTGTGCCCCAGAATCCCCACACCCACATCCGTTGAGATCACAGATTTCTGGGTGACAGGACCCAGGCCTGGTGCCAGTCTTCCCTGGCCTCCTGCAGCCTTGGCACGGATGCTATCTCCACCCTCGTTTTTCCAGTGAGGAAGCTGGGTGTGACCTGGAAAAGGGACAGCGGGAGAGTGGGGGAGCTGGACCCCCAACACCTACCCTGGATTCAACAACCATACTTTCTTAGTTTTTTCAAGTAAAAAATTTAATTTCAGGAATTGAGTTCACCATTTATAAATCCACTAAAGTGCAGTCCATGCAAGTTCAGGTGAAGCTTAGGTACAGTATTTTAACAAAAATGACAACTTTTCTAAAAGGGCCATAGGCAAATGGATGATTTTTTTACCCTGAATACAAAATTGATTTGAAATGAGAAAATTAACCCCTTTTAAAATGTTAACACAAAAACTTCTAGGGCACAATTGTTAAAAGAATCTGACAACTGATATTTCATTCTTCTGTCATTGGGATTCTAAAATACCCAATTGATGTCTGAATCTTCTCTTTTAAAAAAAAAAAAAACACATAAAGCTTTCTTGACAACTGCCGTGACAGGTGCCTTTACTGTTTTAATAAAGCCACCTCAGTCTTTCAGGAACCAGGGTCACCTATGGGAGTCAGGTGGTCTGATACCCGTCTTGACCTTCCCTATTCCTCTGGCTGCAGACTCCTCACTCTGGGCAGGAGTTTTTCTTCCCAGTAATCGCTGGGACTCAAATGTGAGGACCTGAAGAGCGCTTTCTTCTCTGATCCTTGTACCCACAAACACATACCGGCTGTCAGCTGCCCAGCCCCAGTGGATCTGTGCTGTCAGCGAGACACAGCAGGGGGCGCCATGCAAGTAAGGAGCATCAGGACCCCGCATTTAGCATGATGAGACTGAGAGCCCTGCGGAGGCCAAGGACCATCCAGAGGGGCTCCTCTGGAAGCTGAGACAGGACAAGCAAGAGAAGGTAAGTCCCCGAAAAGCCCCAGGAGCCCCGCAGGGTGCTCCAAGGAGGATGACAGACAGCAGCACTCCTGGCAGGGACGCAGGAAACCCTTGTTAGGGGGACAGAGAGCTCATCACAGCCAGCCCTCCAGGAAGCTGGAAAGGCACAGGGAGACCCAGAGTGAAACATCATTCTGCATTTCAAAGGCCGTGTGGACATGAGGACACGCCCACGAGGTGAGCAGGAGACACCGCTAGGAAGAAACAGCGGAGCTGGGCTTGAACCCACGCCGGATGACTTGAAGGTGATGCCTGGGGTTTTCCTGCCCCACCCCTGGGACAGCAGAGAGTGTCCAAGGGACAGACCCAGGTGACCGCTTGGGAACAGAATGCCTGCTAGCCTTTTGCCAGGCCAATGAGAGTTGGGGGTCAGGAGAGGCTTGGGGGTGGGGAGCTCCATAAGTTGATTACACACCGTGCAGTATTCATGCTCTGTCCTGTGAGAGCAGGGCCCACCCCACTGTACAGGTGAAGAAACTGAGATATAAACAGGAATGCAACGGAGCCCAGCAAGGGACAGGCAGAGCTGGGACTCTGCAGGCCTCCCGGTGGGCCCCCAGGGAGAGCAAGGAGGGGCAGGAGTTGGGGGAGGCCCTGGGTTTCAGCTGGAGGGGTCTGCAGGGCTGAGTGAGAGCAGGGATACTGTGTGTTTCTTTCTGGGGGGCAGAGAGGAGACTGGAGGGGTCGCTGAGATACAGCAAAGCCAAGCCAGCAGTGCAGCAGAAGTGCACAGCAAAGTGACAGAATGCAAAACGGCACATGTAGGGGTGACCATGTAGAAGAAGGTAGGGGAGACGGGGAAATATCCCTGTATCTGCTCTGCTCTTTGCTTTGCTTTGCTTTGCTTTTGGTCGCACTATGTAGTTCAGGCTGGTCTTAAACTTACTGTGTAGCCCAAGCTAATCTCAAATTTGAGGGTATCCTTCTGCCTCAGCCTCCCAAGTGCTGGGATCACAGGCCACCATACTCAGGTATCCACTTTTATATCCCCAACTTTTTTTTTTAGAAAAGAGGGGGCAGGGACTAGAGGTTAGTGTTTTAAGAGGCGAGTGAGGACGCGTGGAAGGTGTCAGGTGCTGAAGCTCACCTTCGCCTATGAATTTGACTTTGGGATTACTGTAACACTATTCACATGCACACATGGGCACAGAGGCATTATCATGACACCTGGAACATTCATATAGGGACTGTGGATTAAAGAGTAGTGTATGGACTGGGGATTTAGCTCAGTGATGCTGCTGCCTGCTTCGCAGGTGCAAGGGCCCGAGTTTGATCCCCAGGACCAATAAATAAAGGGTAGCATCCCTGTTGTATTCAGTTTTTACAGTTTGAGCACTGCACTGCACTTACATAAGAGGAGCCCTGGTTCTGGAGAAGTTTTGTTGCTGCGTTTAGTGGATGTGATGGCACGAGGCAGAAGTTCAGTGTCCACATCCATCTCTAGATCTACCTCTGTGCGCGCGTAGGCAGAGAGAGCCGGTGTGGAGGACCGAGAAGCTGAGGCAGGCTGTGGAGACAGGAGAGTCTGAGGGGACGCTGGGAGGGGCCCATGGAAAGGGGCCCTGGACCCCAAGAAGAAGCCCGGAAGGAGGGGTAGGAGAGGTGCTCTTTTCTTCTGGAAATCTCTGCATCTGTGCTTTGGCCACAGGAGCTCAGTAAGCCACCTGGCTCAGGTCACTGGCGTGGGAGGGGGGACACGGAGGACAAGG